GGGTTTGTATTTCCTTCCAGTCTTTGTCAAGCTTTTCTGTGAGTTCTAATGCACTTTCTCTCCGAGTTTGCCTCTCTTGCTAGGGAAAAGAAAAAAAAAAAAAGCCAAACCAAATGCACCAGTTATGTACAGATTGACATGACATGGTATCTGCAGTGTAAAGCCAAAACGCCATCTTTAGCAAATGAAAATTTTAAAATATTTAACATTTATTTTAAAGGTGTACATATTCATTGCAAAAGATGAAGTACAGAGTTAGACTGTATGGCACAATGGTTGCCTACAGCAAAGAAGGGGAGATTTGGGGATACAAAAGAATGGCAGATATTCAGTGTACATCTTAATACACCTACAAAGTCAGAATGACTTATTCAAGGAGCTTGGACTCTTCTCCTAGACATCTGTATCTCCTTGTCTGCTATGCAAAACCAAACTGTGACAGTTTCTTAATCATGTTCATTTACACATCAGGGCTAAAAACTCACCTTTTCTTGTTTAGACTTGGCTATCATCTCTTCAATGAGTTCCTTCCTAGATTTAGGTTTCTCCTCCTCTTCATCTTGCTGCCCACTCGGTGCTTTTTTACGAAGGAGGCCGCCACCCCCTCCAAAGTGAGCAGCAGTTAATTCAGCTGAGAAAAAAAAAAAACCAACATGGGAGACTGTGAACCCTTTCCAAATCCGTACATGAGTGCTGGAGTGCTGCTGGGACAATATCTCCCTATTCCTTGAAAATGGGAGCAATTAAAACTATTGCATCAATGATGTACTACTTCCATCCCGATGGGAATGGCCATACCAAAAGAGTTTGATGGTAGACACATAATTTACAGTGACAAACATTTTGTTTGTCAGGCATATGATGGGGGTTTTCCCTCAATGTTTTTACTAGCATTTAGGTACAGAGGAACAAGATAGTAATCAGAGAACTCGCACTTCAGATTTTGGCTAAAGGCCTCGAAATACAAGTACTTATGTATGCTGAAAAGCCCACAGATGAAAGAACCTTGCCAGGTAAGGAGTTACAACTTACCACCTGTTAAAATCCAGAGAGCTGTTCTGTGTGTGATTAAGAAGAAATCAAATCTGTCTTATACATCCCAACCAATTATGTTAATATTCTTTCTCACTGAAAGATAGTGCTGAACAAATGATGTACAGGTACCAACAATAAAACCAACAGTTGGATATTAGCTGACATATCTTACCTGACAGTGTTCCTCTTTCTTCTGTGTCACTGTCACTATCAACAATATCATTTAGTTTTTCAATTTCTGCCAAAGACTGGCCATAATGAGTCAGTTCCTCATCTTCATTAAGATTATAGATACTCTTCTTTCCATAATTTTGCTAAGAATAGTAAAAAACAATAAATAACTAAAGATTTTTAGTTCCCAGACAACAAAAGAAGAAAGCCTGTATTTTTAATGCTAGTTGAAGAGATTCGGATTCCCGTATTTTGCTGGAACACTACCAGACCAATACTTTCATTTTAAATACATAAAGAGAAGGAGCATGATGTCTCACTCTACTTGTACATCAATATAAGAAACTTTAGCCTATATAAATTATCAGTAGAATAAGATATTGCACTGCTCAATTCAAGAGACTAAGTATGATAAGGCAGAAAGAACACTACTGCACATAAAATTCACATTAGAGAATGATACCAAGAGTCCTAGTCAGCAAATGAAACTGCTGCTGTTCAACAGCTGTACTAGAATCCCAATGTGTACCTGATGGTGGCTGTGTTTTCCTAATTCAATTCCCAAATCATAGTAATCAAAGCAGTCAAAGAAATTCAGGCAATCAATGAATCTGCTTAAAACTGGCTTTCTTGCCTATCAGTGCTCAGAAGTTTGTGCTTCAATAAGCTGTTTTGTAAAACCAAAAAGTTTTCATGAAAAATTTGATTCCCACAAAAACCTGCTTTTCATAAAAGTTCCAGACATATAAAATAATAAGAAAGGATCACCCCACAGCCCACCCTGTTAAGGGGCACCCAACCTAAGAAGTCAAGTGTTTACTGCGGCTTTGGTTTGTTATTCCTTTTAATTCATATTTTACCTGTCTTTCCAAAGTGAACCGTCTGATCATCTTTTCCTCTGGACTTATTTTGGTGTTATATTCACCAAAACGTTTATCTTTAAACACGTTTGTCTTTTCCCTTTCTTTATATTCTTTCAGTAATGTTTGGGTGCGCTAGAAGGAAAAAAAATAAAGAAGGAAGATTAAAAAAAATGGAGATCAAGTTAAAAGACAGAAAGAATACCTACTTTCAAAGCCAAGGCAAAAAAAAGGCTCCATGTTATCCTGGCAACAATCTAATTTATCAGAATGCAATGAAAGAGAAGAAAAAAATTAATGAGAAAAGAGATGGGAAGCTCATAAAATATATTCGGAGTCATTAAGTTGTCTTCTAAATTGACCATATGAAGATAAAATATGGTACACTATCTCACCTTTATTTTATCACATATATCACATCTGCATTGCCACTGAGGAATTCTAATTTGTCTGAAGCTTAGCGTCCAAGAATAACAGTAAAGAAAGCAAACAAGCCCCACTATCAGCTGAATCTCCTTCAGTCTTGTCAGCTAAGATGTATAAAACCCCAAGTAGGTACACAGCTGTCTGCTTTAGTGTTGAGCACCAGGAGGTTTCCCATGAAAGTGGTAAAAGGAAGTTTAGCAAACCTATATGAGGTATTATGCGCTGTACTTATGGTGCAGCTAAGGAAACAGGTTTACTTTGCAATGCCAGTGATCTAAGTCATGGCAAGCATCTGACTTATTTCTATTAAAGCCCCAAGACCTTAAAACATGATATTGAACATTCATGAAATTTTCTAAAATCTGAACGAACAGTAATGAAGACTGAAAGCTAACTTAGAACTTCATGCTGAAGATATTACATAGTTTCTAAAGGAAGAACATGCTGGCTGTGTTTAGCCTGAAAAAAACAACCCTCCATGTTTATTTAAAACACATTAACTGAATTTTACAGAAAGGTACTGTTGCTCTTCATATTACCACGAACTCACAAACTGCTGCACCAAAGGAAAAGGCTGAGTTTTCTACAATAGATCTCTGCAGCCTCACTGAGCATTCACAAGTTTCAGATGCTGCTGTGACACCAGGACTCAGGTTTCAGCTATCACTGTGTCAGTTCTACCTGGCACTTACTTCTTGCACAGAACATACCAATTATCATGCAGCTTAAACACTGTTCCTGAGCTTTAATATCTCTTAATACCTGGGATACAGAAAAGCATTTTTGTTTATAACTGATAAAATATTTAATGCATGCAAAAATGATAAACTATCAATTTCCTGTTGCTACACTACTTTGAAAAATGAGCTTCTCCTTTTAGTAGGTGCTTTAAATTCTGCTAACAGTTTGCATGTAACATGTCAGAGAGAATCTCAGGCACACACTTTCAAATCATGCTTTTTTCAGCCTTAATAGAATTGACAGAGGTTTTAACTTCTTTCTGGTTTGTCTCAAGGGACAGATCATAAAAAATTCCAGTGCTTCACTCAAGGACAAGGTAGGCTGCCGGAATCCCAGATACGTAGTATAACACAACGTGCTCCCTTATGTATTACAGATTGGCCCAGGTAGCTAATGATGTCAAGCAGATAAAGAGGCAATTGTAAAAGGGTATAGATGGAAGACAGATTTACTCCCTTAAGTTGTACGATCATTCTAATGAGAACCAGCACAGATCGTTATTTTGCATTGCAACATAGTTCTACAACACTATTTAACCAATGCACAAAAAGTCAACTGCATGCTTTCCAAATCAAGGCTAGTTTCTCTGTACCTACACATCTCTCACTGCGTTCAGACCTTAGTGCCCTTTCAAACTTTCACTATTATAGCAACACTATACCACTATAAGAATTTTAACATCCTGAAGTGACCAAAACTGACCAACATTATTAACACTGACAACCATCTGCACTCTGGTCCAGTATCTTCCTGCATATATGTGCCATTGTGCTCTGGGTAATTTGAAAACAAACATTCCCACACATGCCATAAGGGAGCCTTCCACTATTGAACCCTGTGAATCGCACTGGAGAGAGACATTTTCAACCGGCTTTCCAACACCATCTGCTCAATGTGCACAACAGAGGCAACCTCTCATGACCTGAGATGGCTCCAGGCTTGTAACCTCTCCATCACAGCTATACCCACAGATACCATCCTTCTTTAAAACTTCTGATGCCCTCTTACCTTCTTGATGGCCTTGGACCGTGAGACTCCAGGCAGCCCCACATCATTCTTGGTCTTCCTCCCCAAGATGTTAAACTTCTGCCTATTGACTTTCACCTCAAAGGGGTTACTCTTGACCATGGCCATAGCTGACTTCACAGGGCCCTTGGCTGTGGAAGGCGCTGAGACCTTTCGCTTCCGCTTAGATGCCTTCCCCATTTTGGGCCTGGCTGCCTGCGGATGCGTGTAGGGAAGAAGAGACTCGGTACTCAGTCAGCCTGCGGCGACAGGGCCGGAGGTACAAACAGGGCAACAAAATGGCGCCGGGGGGAAAGAGGGGCAAAACCCCACCAAATACCCCTCGGACCAGAGTACTTCCCTCCGACACGGTGCTGAGTCGTACAAGAGCTCCCCTAAAGCCCCGTCAGAGCCGGCGGAGGCGCGGAGAAGAGGGAACGAATAGCAGGCAGCGCTCCCCTTACCCCGGCGTGCCCCGGCAGCACCACACGCGTACCGGCAGCCTCACACCTCTCGCGAGACTGATTCACCCAACCATCGCGCAATTTGGTGCTCTTCTCCCCTCCCGCTTTGGGACGTGCCGGGCGGGGAAGCCTGGAAGGGTTTAATGCACTACATATCCCAGCAAGCAGAGCGCGGCGTGCGCCGGAGATAACGTTGTGGTGCTGCGCAAGGTCTGCTGGGAGTTGTAGTTCTAGAGGATTGGGATGGGGAAGTGGCCCAGCAGCGCGGAGGCGGAGCTGGCTGAGGCAGGCGGAGGAGGGCGGTAGAGCCATGGTTGGGGCGGGCGGTTGCTGCTTGCTCCTTGCCTCCGCCCTCGGGGAGGGGGTGGCCGGTGCCGGGGCGAGCAGCGGGTGATGGGGAAGAGGCGAGCGCAGCGCTGAGGTCCTGCGGGGTCGGATGAGCGGAGGCTTGGCGTCGCGGCGGTGGCGGGGCTGGAGGAGGGGGCGAAGGAGGCAGTAGGGGCGGCCTCCACTCTGGCTGCCCTGAGGAGAAGGAGCCCCCGACCATGGAAATCGAGAACATCGTGGCCAACACGGTGCTGCTGAAAGCCCGGGAGGGTGAGAGCCGGGGGGGTGGGGGGAGCGGCGAGGGGGGAGGAGAAGCGAGAGGTCGAGGCGGGGCGGGTTGGACACGTACCGGGCGGGGAGGAAAAGGGTCTGAGGTGAGGGGGAAAGGGACTGGCGAGGAAAGGGAGAGAGGAAGTGATGGAGGAAGAGAGGGTGGGGAGGGAAGAGAGCCTGCCGGGCAAGGGGCGTCCGGGCGGGGAGCGGAGCCCCTTTGGGGCAGTGGCGGGGTCCCTCCCAGTGGCACCGGGGCGGGCAGCGAGTCCCGGGCAGTGCCCTGAGGCACCTGCCCCGCTCCTCCCGCGGTGTGGATTTGGAGTTACTGCATTGTTTCTTGTGGAGGGAAAAAACCCAACAAAACCTTTCCTCCTTCGCCGTCGGGCTCCTGATTCACATGGTGTTTTTACCGGATGTTTTTAAGAAGATCGTTAATCTGGAGTTCTTAGTTTATTTGCAAATATATATGCGTACAGCTATAAGGGATGAAGTGACATAAATCTTCTTTGGAAGAACCTTGCACTCCATCTTGCTGAAGTTCCTGCCTGTGAAAAACGTAGCTGTTGAATGCTACCTGTGTTTTGTAATTGAATGTTTTATGTTAACCTGATACTAAACTGTGCTCATGAGGTTAATACTTCCAGTTTGATTCCCCAGAGCATCTTGACTTGAAGTTTCTCCCCCAACTAACAGACATTTTGGATAGATAATGAAGTTCAGAAAATCACTGTTTAAAAGCAATCCTGAAATGAGATTGTCCTGCTGCTTTTTCACGTATATAACTGTCCATTAAATGGCCACTTGAAAACCTCCCCAGATTACCACTGTACTCCTTGCAGAGTTGTTTTTCAACTATGAAATGGGCATATTCTTTTTGGATTGGATCTTACTTTTCTTAATTGTGTTGAGAAGTCCCATTAGTTTAGCTGGAGCTGTTTAAAGTGAGTAAGAACAACAGAATCTGCCCCTGTATGTTTTGCAAGTTCCTCCAACTCTAAATGGGTTTGGCACTTACGCCATATGTGTATCCAGTTAAATTTGCCTTAAGCAGCGAGAGAGGAAAATCAGCTTTTTTACTTTGAAGTGGGGTTTAAAAACCAGAACAGTGATTACAGTTTTGGGCCATTTCCCAACCTTAGCTGAAAAGACCACCTCAAACTAGAGGACATGTTTTGGCTGGTTTCGCTGCCGGTAACATGTCTGTGGTGGTGTTGCCTGTGTTTGGAGTTTGCATTAAAGTGATCTGAGAAATGAAGGGAAAGTGGAATCTGGCTCAGAGCTTTACTGTGCCCAAACCCTCACCACAAAGAGTGGAGTGGTAATCTGGAAAGGCTTTTAAGTGGCTGCTTAATGCCAGGTTGCCTCTTTAGTTAAGGTTTCACTATGTTTAAAATAAATTATAGTGGTAGAACTGACCAAACAAGATATTTTAATGAACTAAATGAAAGTCTGACAGCAGCTGCTGTGAAGATCAGTTGTATCTGATGTGAAACTTATAAAAGTAATGGTAATAAGCTGTTACTCTTTTGTTCCTGAAATTGGCCTGGGCTCTTTTGTGCAAGTGTGCACAAAGATTTGATTTATGGCTTTGAAACTCTAAAACTCCGTTGATAACTGGTAGAAAGTCTTTTACCTTTTCACATCTGAGTTTCTGTACATGGGATACTTTTTACATGGCATTTCTCAAAACTCTCCTTTAAAGTGTTTTCTGTCTGTTGCATGCTCTGGCTGGTCTGGGAATGTCTGGTTTATTCCATCTGTCAGGACCATTCCATAAAATCCCTCTCCCAGCTCTATTCTTATGTTCCCAGTAGACTCAAAGGGAATGGAATTTGGAAAGTTAGTATGTGAGGTAGATACTTTACTGAAATATATTCTTTCCTAAAGGGCCTCAACACTGAGACAGAAGAGCTGACTTTCAATTGACCTTTTCATTCCCACATTCCTGTTATCTCACTGTATAGTGTATGGAGAGGTGGGATAGCATGGAAGAGTTCATGATTACTGTTTCTCATGGAAGAGGGCAAAATCCTAAGGCACCATAAAGTAGCAGCTTCACTTATTTTCAAGTATAGGCTGGGTAGCATCAATAATCCTTTTTCCAGTTCCTTAGTGTATTAAAGTTTGGGTAAGAGAAGGTGTTGATCTGAAAAAATATTTCAGTTGTGAAAGCAAGATAATGTGCTCTTATTTTATAGTTTTCAGTGGCATATTGAAAGAAATCAATATAGGCTTAATAATGGCTTGCATAGGTCAGTCTCAGTGTAACTTGAGAGTCCTTCATGATGAAGGTGAGAGTAGAAAAAGTCTGTAGTCTTGAAAGCATTTTACAATGTCTTTTAACCCTAGAGAGATGACATCTTCATTTTGCAAATGTAGAAACTGAACTGAAGGTATTGTGTACTGGTCCTCATCTGCCATACCTAGCCTCTGGTATGGCAGAGGCTTAATGAAAACACAGAAATGTGTGGTAAATAATACCAAGTCTAAACAAATAGTACCTGAGCACATAAACTAGAACAGTCAAAATTCTGATGCCAGATTTGTACTCATAATTTGCCTCTCATTTTATGTACTCGTACTTTTAGATGTGAATATTGTTGGGGTCTGAACATCATTTGGGTTTTACATTTGTAGGTGTGCAGAGTTACCACACCTTGAACAGCAAGGTACATGTCTACTATTGAAATCTGATTTGATATGTAGAAAAATAAATGTGAAGTATGTAATTAGAAAGCCAGGAACTAACCAGCATGCTTAGACAAAATGCATCTGTTGTTGAAACTTTCTTCTTCTACAGAATAAAAACAAAGTGGTAGTGCTATTTCTAAGTATCTTCTTGCTTAATAGTCTTACTGTTAATTTGTTTCATTAGAGGTATGAATCTTCTAATTAAATTTGCATGGTGATAATACCAGCTTGTAAGAGTTCACCAGTCTGGTTTTCAGGCCAGATCAAACCCCAGGTTCATCTCAACCTCAAAACTTTAAGTTTAGTCTTATGCTATTCTCTAAGAGGATTATCCAAACCTTTTCATAAGATGGATTAGCTTAATAAAAGTCTCTTTCCAGTAAAAGCTTGTAATACCTCTGTGAAGAAGGAAAGCTGTGAGGATTCCTTATCTTTTTTTAATGCAACTTCATAAATAATCAAATGCCAGTTCTTTGTGCATGTAGGTGTTCGTGATTGTTCATAATATGACTCTTGTATGTATCCACTACTAGAAGATACTATGATGACACAAAGTACTTTATGGATGAGAGATTAAGGCGTCAGGAACTATATTGGGAGTTTTTTCTTTCCAGCTGACCTCCTCGTGCTGTACTAACTAGTCCATGGAGCCATTTGCCTCTGGGTGAAAATGGTAGTGCAAAGTGTTCTGGGATTCCTCATCCCGGTTTCCTTGTATAAGTGGCCTTCTGTGCTAATCCAGTTTTTTCCTCCTGTGCATATAGTACTTTTTGAGGGAAACCAGTATGTGAGAAAGGAAAACTTCCTCTTAAGGTGAACTCAATGGAACAAACACAAGTGACTCAGTAGAAAAACAAGACATTATAAAGTAAACTCAAAGTTGATCTTATGAGCACTGAAGTGCAGCAATTGAGATGGAAAAACAGGTAAGTGCTAAGTGATAGTGTTGAGATAGATGGTGTGAAAGCTTGTGATCTCTTTACTGAGATTTTTACTTACAGACATTTTTATGTGTAAAAGAACAGTGTACAGCAATGTTTCTCTAGTTTTGTATAAGAGCAGAGGAATTAACACATTTTCTCCCAGCAGAAATGTCATTGGAATGAGTATCTCTTGAAAGACATTGAAGAATTTATCATGTAAATGGTGACAAGTAATAAATACAAACTTGCTTATTTTGCAAAAAAAGAAAATCAAAGTTCACAACAATCTATTGTTATATTCACTTTTCTCTTTATTTATATTTGTCTCTTCTGTTTTTCATAGTTATTTTAATGATTCTCAAGAAATCCTGTAAGTATATGTAAGCCCCAAAGTAATTTCAGCATCCCACACATAGTCTGTGATGTTTTGAAGGAAAGGAATTAATCACTGTATGTTTTAAACTGGTTAGGAGCCTTTCTTTTTTTTTATTGCCTAAAGTAAGAATCTCCAAATATTATGTCCACAGGGTAGATCTAGTTCCTTTGAAGTCAATGGTAGTTTACTCCGATTGAGGATCCATGCCAAGAGTATGTTTTAAACATACCTGGTCTATTTGCATCCACTTTGAAGTTCATTTGTACTGCTCTGGCAGGAGCACTTTGAATGAGAATTTGGTCTGCTGTTAGGCTTATAATATCCTCTATGTCATGATTGATTTAGGCTAAATTAAGGTTATGCCTCAAGCAATCTTTCCCCCAAGCTCTTGATTGTATTGGTTCTAGCTTGTGGTTGCAGACAGTTTCTAGCTGAATCCATGAACCAATTCAGGGGTTGTGGGTTGTTGCGGTAGTTTTTTTCCTATGTCATTGGTTGCTTTGGGGTTGGGGTTTTCTTCCCAAAATTGGTTTTCAGATGATCAGCAAGCTCCTGCAGATTTGATAATTGTTAGGTGCAGCCCAAGGATGGAGTTAGCAGGAGCCTTTCAGTAACAGAAAATGATGACAGTTTGTTTGCCTTAAGCAAATGCTGGAAGATACTAGTTTCAGAACTGGAGTTATGCGAGTGTGGCACTCTTCACAAAAAAAATAAGCAGTCCATGCAAATTGTGTGTTTTATCTTTCTGGTTTAAAACCAGCCAGCATAATTCTTCAAGCAAAATACATCCTACTTTTGCTTGCAGTATCAGGTAATAATTTAGTATGGTATTAGTGACCATATATAAGAAGTTGTCCTGTAATGTATTTGTAATTAGGAAGAAAATTCAAAGAAGATTGCACAGCTCACTGCAGATTTGCTACCAAATGGAACTGAAATCTTGAATTATTTAAGGAGTGTGGACAAGTGGGAAACTAAGACGCACACATACCCGGAAAGTCCATTCA